TTGGATTAGCACATGTTCTTTTAGCTCTGAGAAGTTTATTACCCACCCTCTGTAGCCTGTTTCTGTCAATTCATCAGATTCATTCTCCATCCATCTTTGATCCCTAGCTGTGAGGAGTTGTGATCCTTGGAGGAGGAGAGGTGTTCTGGTTTTTGGTGTTTTCATCCTTTTTGCACTGGGTTCTTTCCATCTTAGTGGCTTTATCTACCTGAGGTCTTTGTAGTTGGTGACTTTTGGATTGGGTCTTTGAGTGGACGTCCTTTTTGTTGATGATGAAGTTATTTCTTTCTGTTTTTTAGTTTTCCTTCTAGCAGTCAGGGCCCTCTGCTACAGGACTGCTGGAGGTCCACTCCAGGCCCTGCTTGCCTGGGGATCACCCATGGAGGCTGCAGAACAGTAAGGGTTGCTGCTGGTTTCTTCTTCTGTTATCTTCGTCCCAGAAGGATACCTGCCAGATGTCAGCCTGAGCTCTCCTTTATGAGGTGTCTCTTTGAGTATATGGGGGTTGGAGAGCTGCTTGAGGAGACAGTCTGTCCCTTATAGGAGCTCAAGTGCTGTGCTGGGAGCTCCGTTGTTCCATGCAGAGCTGCTGGGCAGGTACTTTTAAGTCTGCTGCAGTGGAACTCATAACCACCTCTTTTCCCAGGTGCTCTGTATTAGGAAGGTTGGCTTTATTTATAAGTTCCTGTGGTGCTGCGGCCTTTTTTCATAGATGCCCTGCCCCACACGGAGTAGTCTAGTCACAGTCTGCCAACAGAGGTGTTGCTAAGCTGCTGCAGGCTCTGCCCAGCTGCTGTGTGATCTACCTTGGTAGTGGCAGACTGCCTCAGTAGTGGTGTTTGCCCTTTCCCTGCACTGAGCTGGACCGTCCTGGATCCAGCTGTGCTTGCTGCAAAACTCTCAATCCAGAGCATTTCAGATTGCTTGTTTTGTGGGAGTGGTACCCGCTGAGCCAGTTTGCCTGGCTCCCTGTCTCTGCCCCCTCCCTTTCAGCTGAATGGGTGACTGTGTCACGGCTTCCCAGATTTGTGTGAGTTTCTTTGTGCCAAGTCAGCACTGGCTGAAACTGCCATGCTGAAAACTTGTGACACTTTTCGGCCTGGGAATCTCCTGGTCTGTGGGCAGTGAAAATTTGTTTGGAAATGCGGTGGGCACTCACCCTCTGTGTAGTTCTTGCTGGGAACTACACTGCGGAGCGGTTCCTATTCGGCCATCTTGGATCGACTTTTTACTTCTTTAGGACATTCCTGTCTGCCTGGAAGTTGGTAAACACATAGTGAACATTTGTTGGATGAATGGACAGGTTTGACATTGCTGACGCTAGACTCAGATTTAGTTTCTTTAGAGTAGAATTTTATTTTATTTTATATTTTTTGACACAGATTCTTGTTCTGTCACTCAGGCTGATGTGCAGTGGTGGGTTCTTGACTCACTGCAACTCTACCTCCTGGGTTCAGGAGATTCTCCTATCTCAGCCTCCTGAGCAGCTGGGATTACAGGTGCCCGCCACCACACCTGACTAGTTTTCTTTGTATTTTTAGTAGAGATTGTGTTTTGCCATGTTGCCAAGGCTGGTGAGAAACCCCTGACCTCAAGTGAGCCGCCTGCCTTGACCTCCCAAAGTGCTGGGATTACAGGTGTGAGCCACCATGCCACACCTAGAGTAGAATTCATTCCACAGTAAAGTCACAGGCACTGTTTCAGCAGTAACGAGCCCATTTGTTGAGAGTTCACACATTGGGATGTGTTTTTATACTTGTAACATTGATGTGGATTTGTTTGTTTGTTTTGATATGTAAGGGCCAAGCAAGAAATGGTTTGTTACTCTACAAGTATTTCTGGTATAGAACGCAAATGCTCTCTTATTCTTTCAACTGGCTTTATACGAAGAAGAGATCACTGGGCTCAGAAAGGCCCCATTTTTTCAGATTTTACTGCAGTTCCTTACTGACTTGACTGAGGAGTACACTCCCTTTCCAGTTTTTAAAAAGATACTACCAGGATGCCCCAAAGCTTATAGTTGGGCTTTTTTGTACATGTTGATTTTTTTAAAAAAATATGGTAACAGAATGCATACCACTGAGGTGGTAAATGGAAAAAAGAAGTGCAGTGGAGTATACTGTCTGTTTCTTGGGGCCTTTTCTATTAATCACAGGAGGGAGCGTCAGACATGACCAGATAAGAGAGCCAGCTGACCCTAAGTTCATGCCAACTCAAAATCAGAATGGCAAAATTCGGAGGAGTTTGATGCTGTTGAATTGAGAAAGCATGAGGTTCTCAGAGTGATGGAGCTGGAAGGATCATAGAGATCATCTAGTCTAATGGTTCTCAAACTCGAAGGAACGTTAGGGTCATTCTGGAGAGTTTACTGGGCTCCGTCCCTGAGGTTCTGATGCTGTAGATTGGGTGGGACCCCTGAATTTACATTTCTTAGAAGCTCACACGTGCTACCAATGTTGAAGAGAACCTATGATCTAGTTCAGCTTCTGTGATTTCTTGCTTTATTTCTTTTGTAAAAAATAAAAATAAAAATAAAGATGGGGAAACAAGACCTGGAAATAGAAAAGATTTGCCTAGAGTCGCACAGTCTGTCGGGTGAGGTAGAGTCAAAACCAGGCATCCCGACTCATGGCCTGTTTCACATCGCCATGAGAGATTGTTCTGGAACAATATTATTTTTAGTTCTACTGCAGAATGATAGCTGGGTCTTACCCCCTTTGCCTGATCTGGTCACAAACTTATTTTTCAGGGCTTTCCATTAGCCTCTCTTCAACCAATTAAAAAAAAATCAGTTAACTCACATTTACTGACCACTGCTGTGTGTTCAGAACTGTATTTAGACTAGTGGCATAGCAGTGCCATAGTCTGAAAACATTTGTCATCTGTAAACAAAGACACTCACCCCTCCTAGGGCTGCAGGAAGTCACTGAACATGTACCTGGCCCTCAGTGTACACACCACGAATAATAGACCTTGTTATAGTCATTGCTAAAGAGAATAAGATGTGGTCTGCACCCTCTCAGGCACCAGTGGCTTCTTGAGCAGTGTGATAGAGACAGCTGGGATTTAATGGAAAACACAAGGCTAAGAATTGGGAGAGCTGGGTTCAAGCCCCAGCTTTGCCTCTGAATGGCTGTGTAGTCTTGAACAAGTCAACTGCCTTCTCTGAGCTGTAATTTGAAGTAGACGTAGCCTAAGCAACAGGAAAGCAGTAGTGAGCTAGAGAAAGGATAGAAATTGGGAAGAAGTGGAAATCTGCTTGGGAGATGGCAAGATTTGGGCTGCGGTGGAATTGATTTGAGGAGGAGGCCTGGTAGAAAGAGCTAGGCAGCAGGAGGCTCCGTGTCTGAAGGGATAGCTCGCCTGGGGGGTGGTCCAGTGATGGTTGAATGGGTGGGCCAACCCAGTGAGGGGATTGCCTACAGTCCAGTAGAGATGTCCTCATTTTCATGGCAAGGTAGCAGACAGACCCAGGCCTGGGAAGGAGGGCTGGTTGAAGGGAGATGGATGCCAGTCTTGGAGCATGGTAGGAGAATCTGGCCAGGATGATGGCATCTGTTTTGGATTGTGGCCTTGAGGCACATTTTCAGTTCTGCTCCCTGGACCGGCATGGGAGGATGGCAGACAGTACAGTGATTTGGATGCAGGATTGATCCTGCCACCTTGATTTCTGCCTTTATTTAGTGGCAAAGAGACTAGATCAGAAAAGTACTGAATGTGATTGCTGTAGTCCTTCATGATTGATTTAGGAGCTGGGAGAGGCCTGGCTAGGAGCTGGGGGATCCTTGGGAAGAGGAAGATACGGTCTCACGTGAACCTCAGCTCTCTCATCTATAAAACGAGAGTAATGATGGTGATTATGCTGATGTTACCTATTCTGGCTGGAGTAAGGGTTAAAGTGCTTGTCTGTAGGAAGGTACTTCCTGTTATACTAGAGAAGTGCTGGGAAGATGTGACTATGGGCACAGTTGTGTCATGTTTTAGATGGTGCTAAGTCCTGGCCAATTCCATGCATGCTCTTTTCCTTTAGAGATGTTGGCAAAGGTGTACTTGGGAGCTTTGATGACGCTGACACTGCAGTGCCCTCAGTTTACATGTATAAGAAGGGTGAGCCTCCCACAGTCTCACTTAGACGGGGATTCAAGGCTGTGATGGAGCTCCCAGAGTTTCCAGGTTCTCTGCTGCTTGATAGTCAGTGCTGGGAGAGACCTCAGGGATTCAGCCAATTTCACAGATGGGGAGAGTGAGGCATGCTGGGAAGTCTGGCCCCAGTGGAGGACACCATGTGCCCACAGGGAAGCGTCTTTCCCAGCCCCCTCCTCGTGCTTCTCCTCATTTCTCTCTGGAAGTCCTAGTTCTCCTCCTCCTGCAGAGACCCCCTTAGGGTGATTGCCCATGTGTCTTCATTTATCTCCTTTTTTTCTGTTGCCCAGGGACTACTGTAAGCACCATGCTGGTTGCTGACTGTTTGCTTTTCTAAGATTTGGAATCTCTGTTTGTTCACATCACAGCTCAAGAGAATACGTTCTCATTCTCCCAATGTTTGACTTCTGCCTGTTGCATCATACTGGTCTGCCTTGTTTGGATTAAACTTCTGGCAATCATTTACCTTTATGGTTCTCTTAACTTCAGGTCACACTGTTGTTTAGTCAGTGTGAGAATCTATCAGATATTCTGCACTTTGCAAAATGAGCTTCGCAGCCCATTTGTGTGGCAGCAAGGAAACTTGCCACTTTTTTTTTTTTTTTTTTTTTGAGGTGGAGTCTCGCATTATCGTTCAGGCTATAGTGCAGTGGTGCGATCTCGGTTCACTGCAATCTCTGCCTTTGGGTTCAAGCAATTCTCCTGCCTCAGCCTCCTGAGTAGCTGGGACTACACGCATGCACCACCATGCCCAGCTAATGTTTTTGTATTTTTAGTAGAGACGGGGTTTCACCATGTTGGTCAGGATGGTCTCGATCTCCTGACCTCGTGATCTGCCTGCCTTGGCCTCCCAAAGTGCTGGGATTACAGGTGTGAGCCACTGCGCCCATTGGGACACTTGTTGATTCCATATTTATTGTCTGCTGTTCCAGGGACTGGGGACTAGAGGTGAATACAGCCACGTTTGGACTGTCTAGGAGGTTGTGATCCACAGAGGAAACAGACTTGAAAGCCAACTTGGGGCAGGGGGTGAAGTATCGTAATACTGCTGTCTGTGTGTATATGGAGGAAGGTTCCTAGTAGCAGGGTGGTTGAGAGAATGCATCATCGTTGCAGATTGGTGCTTCTGTTATAACATAACATATGCAGATATGTTAGGCCAGGGAGAAAGAGAGAGAGAGAGAGAGAGACAGAGAGAGCACGAGAGAGACTGGGAGGGAGAGAGACACACAGAGAGAGGTTTTCAAAGCATTGATATGGGGTCTACGTATCCTGCCCCCCCCCCCCATTCCCTATGACCATAGAAGCATGCTGCCCTGCAAGGCTTTTGTTTGCCACCTTGAAGACATGGATGGAATCCTCAGCTGTGACCTTGCGTTGCCTCCTGTCTTCATAGTGGAGCTTCTTTATCTGACCTGTGCCTCTGATGAGCAGCCCTCCATCACAGCCCTGCGGCCACGTCCTAGGCCCCTGCCTTCAGCTCTCCAGTTCATTTCCTGTCTTGTTCCCATTGCCACCTGCGGGCTTGGAGGGCCACCTGACGCCCTCTCCCTCGGTTCCCCTGTGACTCCAGAGCTGCTCCCCTTCTGGGGTGCCCACATCTGCGACACACTTGTTTGCCGAGTGCATTTGCTGCACTTACAGTTCCTCTCTCGCTCTCGTATTTCCATTTAAAGCCCTCTTGAGAGGTCTGTCTCCTGCCAGCAGCATTCCTTCTGGTTTACTAGAACTCTGTTTCTTACCCTGCCAGGAATCCAGACATGGAGTGAGCTTCAGCACAGCCTCTCTGCAGTCTCTTGTCTCCTCCAAAATTGTGGCCTCTGGCTGTGAGAAACGGGCATCCTGAGTCAGTGAGACCAGCAGTTAACATGCAGCATCTTCCCTCCCCGCCCCCCCACCCCAAGTGAGCCTTTCTTATTCTTCCTCCTCTTCCACTCAGCCTCATCCTGCCTTGGGTCCATTTGACAGACAGTGACTCCTTCAGTCCTTGTTGTCTTTTGTGTGGTGTCTGTGCCTGACAGGTCAGAAATTACTTGTGAAGCAAGATGGGGGATCATTGGTTGTTTCCACTTTTAGGAGGAAGTCAGAATGGCTCCTTAGTGATGCTTAGCCAATAAGAATGTACTGATTTGGTTTACTAATAAATTTCATTTCTGAATACCAATATATGCATAGCCTTGTTTGAAGAAAATTAAGGAGAACTGTTTTGCAAGTGGCAATGAGCGTAAGACACTTACAATCTTCCTGCCCTTGCTGGTGCGGGCTTCTGTGCTCCCTGACTCTCCTTTTGTTAAAGGTGTCTGGGAAGGCATTTGTCCTTCGGCTTCCCAGCTGGCCTCTTGTCTTCTCACTCCTGTAGCCCATGGGTAGAATCTCTCGCGCTGTGCACGCCTTGCCCTGCTATCATCTGACCTTGCCTCTGTTTCCAGGGTTTGCTCTGGCTGTCCCCTGCCAGGCATACTCTGTGAGTGCGTCACAGAGCCATGAGCATGCCTGGCAGGGGACAGCCAGAGGCCGCCGTTGCTACTCTGAGTGTGTCCCTGGTCTCACTCTCTTGCAGCACATGCTGCCCCGATGGCCTGAGGGCCCTTCCCCTTTGTTTCTATCTGGAGACTGTTCACTTATCCCTTGAAGTGTAGCATAGCTGTTTCCTCCTTCTTGAACCTCCTTATATTTCCTCAAGAAGACTTGAAGGCAAAAATAAACCCCAACTTACTATCTGTGGTATGTTTCTGTTATAAGCGTAGGACCTACTCGTAATAACACATTTCAAAAATATGGAACCGTATAAAGAAAATGAGCATCACTCATAAATCACTATTTAGACACATGCATTGTTTATGTTTCTGATATTCTTTCTTTAGTAGTGCTTTTCGTGATTTTATGTGCATTTGCATTTTACTGACTAAATATTACTATGTAAACATTTTCATATCTTGCCACTTCACCTAACAATAGAACATGAGCAGTTTCTTATGGCATTAAGAATTGTTTGTACATGTAATTTTGAATGGCTGTATATGATTTCATCTTAAGAATATACCATAATTGTAATTTTTCATTGTTATAAATAGCACTGTGGTCAACATCCTTCTTACAAAATTCTTTACCTGCACCTATGATTTCATTTTCTAAGGTAGATTATTAGAATGTGAACTACCTTGCACAAAGGACAATAACTTCTTCACCCTTAGTTTCAGAAAGAACATGTTGTCTTTGGAGAAAGATAGAAACATGGAAAAGCATAAAGAAGAAAATAGGCCAGGCGCAGTGGCTCACACCTGTAATCCCAGCATTTTGGGAGACTGAGGCAGGCGGTTCACGAGGTCAGGAGTTCAAGACCAACCTGGCCAATATGGTGAAACCCTGTCTCTACTAATACAAAAATTAGCTGGGCATGGTGGCACATGCCTGTAATTCCAGCTACTGGGGAGGCTGAGACAGGAGAATTGCTTGAACCCAGGAGGCAGAGGTTGCAGTGAGCTGAGATCACACCACTGCACTCCAGCCTGGCAAGAGAGCAAGACTCCATCTTAAAAAAAAAAAAAAAAAAAAAAAAAAAAAAAAAAAAAAAAAAAAAAAAAAGAAAAATAGAAAAAGTAGAAGAAAATAAAAACCGCCTGCAATCATTTGCAACAATCAGTGTGAAATTTGCTACATAATTAGATCTGTGTATCCACCTTTCTACTCTATAGGTTGCCATTTTCTGTGAAGGACTTGTTAGTAAATATTTCAGGCTTCGCAGGCCACACGTGGTTTCTTGTCTCCTCCTCCTCTTGTTTCTGCTGCTGCTTCAAGATCCTTTTAACTATATAAAAATTATTTCTACGTACTAAGCTGTATGAATACCAGTTTGCCACCCTGCTTCCAGCCTCAAAAGTGGAATAATCCTGTACGTACTTTTAAAGCAATTTTAAAAAACTTATTTAATTAATTTAAAAATTAATTGATTACTTTTTAAAGACAGGGTCACTCTCTGTTGCTCAGGCTGCAGCACAGTGGCATGATCATAGCTCACTGCAGCCTTGGAAATCCTGGGCTCAATCAGTTCTCCTGCCAAGTAGCTGGGACTGTAGGTGCACGCCACTGCCCCTGGCCCTGTACATACTATTTTGTAATTGTTCTCTTTCACAATGTAACTACTTCATCACGGTTTCTCACGGTTTTCTGCTTTAGGCAATGCAGATATAATCACTGGCTTTCTGCTGAGATGCCCACAGCATTTTGGCCAGGTCTCTGATACAGAATTTAAGGCACATTTTATTGTGAGTGTTTGCTGAGATGTCTCTTTCTTCAGTCTTACTGCTCTTTGTCTTTCCACCTTCAGCACATTTCCTGAGTGGTGCTTAATAGATGCTCAGCAAATCTGTGTGGAAAGATTGCCTTAGGCTGCAAGTTCATCCTTTCACAATGCCTACATTTAGATTGCAACTCCAGGTTTTCTCCTTGGGCCAGCAGCATCGGTATCATTTAGTACTTGTTACCAATGGAGACTCTCAGCCTCACCCCAGAATTGTGTCTTTAGATGTTCCTGAAAGTTTGAGAAGCATTATTCTAGAGCTCATCTCTGCTTTATTCATCACATCCTTATTTATTGTCATCCCTACCTCATTCTTTTCATTGGTGGGAACTTCTGTGAATAGACCATGGGTATTCCTTAATTGACTGACACAATTTGTTTCCCCTATAGCACCAGATGCCATCTTGCCTATTGAGATCTACATGGCTGCCATTGCTTTTGGCTGGGAGTAGTTGCGGTAGTGAAGGGAGCAAATATTTAATTCGCACCTGCTTTGTGCCCAGTTCTATGCCCAGCTCTTTACACACATTCTTCCGAGGGTGAGACATGATGGTGTTGGCTGGAGACAATATAGGGATCTTCAAGTCCAGTGATTTTTTTTAACCAGCTAAAGAATTAAAAGAAGAAGTATAATATATAGGTACATGTATATATGTGTGTGTATATAATATATGTACATATATAAATATATATGTGCATATATATGTGTGTGTGTATATATATAAACACACACACAAACCTATATATATCCATATATATGTATATATATACACACACACGTGTATATATATATATACACACACACACACACACACACACAAAAGCCTATATATATATCCATTATATATATGTATATACACACACATGCCCAGCTCTTACTCCAGTCTGGAATCAGACTAGCTAGACGGGGCCAAGAGTACTTAGAGAAAATTCCCTCTGTGTTTCCATTGCACACTGCTGGTTAAGAACTAGTGGTCTAGGCCAGTATTAATTGTGCAGATGAGAAAAGTGAGGCCCAAACAGGTCAGTGAGCATCCCAAGGTCACATGCATTCAATAGCAAGGCCGGACGTAGATTTTGTACTGTCTGCCTGAGGACGCCCTTCACGTTTACCCGAGCTGTTTCTGACCTGCAGGGTTGGGGTAGAAGTGGAACTGGATGAAGAGGTTGAACTCTTATCCTCAGATCTCTGAGCCTCATTGGGCAGCTGGGAGTGTAGAAAACATACACTAAGTCCTGCAGGATCTTTTCTGTTCCCTTTCCACCTTTGCCTGCCTTCCTGGTGTCTGCTTTTGGGGCTGATTAAAGAGGCTCGAGGCACTGAAGAGCATCAATGGCAACTGCTTTAAGTGACTCAGGCAGCTGCTTTGGTATCTGGGGTCTTCCTTTACCTTTGCAGAGTCACGGACAGCCCTTAGAGGCAGGAGTGAAAGAAGCTTTGTTCTGGTCATTTTTCACTGTCCCCTCTGTGTCAGACACAGTAATGGAAACCCTGGTCAACTTCCAGCTTCTAGTTGTGCCCAGCCAGTGACAAAGAGAATGAGACATCAGCTGAGGCTTTGCAAAGACATCCTATGGAAGGGCATAGAGACTTCATGTAGACGCCAAGGGTGGGATCAGCGCTCTGGTTATGTGGTAAACTGGAATGGGAAGCCAGAACAGAACTAATGAACTTGAGAGCTGCCATTTACCTAGTGCTCACTGGGCCAGGCACTTTGCCTACATCATTTCCCTTAATCCTATAACAGCCATGGGAGGGGTGGGACTAAGGGAAGCACTGGGGAGGTTTTGTGACCTCCTACAAGTGGCAAGCTGGGATGTGAACCCAGTTCCGCTTGATTTTAAAGTCCGTGACCTGGATTCTCATACGCTGCTTCCCTAGCTGGTTCCACGCTTCTGCCTTCTAACCTGCCGCTCCTAGGGATTTAACGAAAAAGCCCACAGAGATAGACTGAACGAGTGTGTAAGGACCCATGGCAGGGGATGTCAGAAATGGAGTGGACTGTATCAGTTGGTGTAAGATTTCCAGTTGCTGGAGGTGTTTAGGCAGGGACCGTGGTACCTCTTGGTGGGAGACTATCAAGTAGAAGATGTGACTGGCCATCGCAATGCCTCTGGGATTCTAATTCGTCAGGGTTTCCAAGATGTGAATTTGTTTGGAAGATTCTGTCATAGAATTTCAGGATTCTGTCATTATAAAATATACTTGGGGTAAAAGTCTGTGGATAAGGCATTGGTGAGGCTCTGAAGGATTTGACTTTTCACAGCCTGCTTCCAGCACCGAGAGTCCTGCTGCTGTGCTTTCTCAGTGCCTGCCACATGCCCTGCATTTGGTTCTGGACAGGCCCCAGATATGAGAACTATCCCATGAGGAGCTCCCCACCCAGGAGGGGAGGGAGACCATCCTCTCATTGAAAGGTAAACTACCCAGTACCAGGGAGTATGGGGAAAGAGACGAGTGTGCACCTGGGGAGTTTACAAGAGGGATGTGTTCAATGAACCAGGAAATTTGTTTTTTTTTTTTTTTTTTTTGAGACGGAGTTTCGCTCTTGTTACCCAGGCTGGAGTGCAATGGCGCGATCTCGGCTCACCGCAACCTCCGCCTCCCGGGTTCAGGCAATTCTCCTGCCTCAGCCTCCTCAGTAGCTGGGATTACAGGCACGCGCCACCATGCCCAGCTAATTTTTTGTATTTTTAGTAGAGACGGGGTTTCACCATGTTGACCAGGATGGTCTCGATCTCTTGACCTCGTGATCCACCCACCTCGGCCTCCCACAGTGCTGGGATTACAGGCTTGAGCCACCGCGCCCGGCCTGGAAATTTGTTTTTTAAATATTGGATTTGAACTGGGCTTTGAAGGCTCTATGGCATGCCCTTAGGTTGTAGGAGGGTGGCATCTGGCCACCATCCTGAGCTGTGTGGTGGGAAAAGCAGGTCAGACCCTAATGTGAGCGTTGAATAATAAATGAATAAAAAGGAATTGAAGAGTAAGCCTCCTGGGCTTCTTTCTAAAGTTAATAGGACTTTGGTAAACTTTTTTTTTTCCCCCCAGGATGGTAGAGAAAGAACATGGGTACATTCTATAATTCAATAAACATTTACATTGAGGCCACTATGACTGGT